TAGGGCACGCATGATCTGCAGTCATCACCACATCAATGTGACAACATTCTCATCACCCCGAAAAGGGACCCCGTACCCATTACCAGTCTCCCCATTCCCCCAACTCCCTCCAGCCCCCCGCAACCATCCATCTACTTTCTGTCTGCAAGGATTTCCCAGTTCTGGACATTTCGTATAAATGGAATCATACAGTATATGGCCTTTCGTGTCTGGTTTCCTCCACTTAGCATCATGGTTTCAGGGTTCATCCATGTTGCAGTGTGTGTCAGTACAGCTTTCCTTTTTATGGCCAAATGACGTCATTGCATGCACAGATAGAGCACATTTTGCTTATCTATTCATCAGCTGAGCGGCATCTGGGTTCTTTCCACGCTTTGGCTATCATGAATAATGCTGCCAATAATACTTGTGTGCAGGTTTTGAGTGGACATACGTTTTCCATTCTCCTGAGTCTACGCCCAGGCGTGGAATCGCTGGGTTCTGTGTAACTCGATGTGTAACATTTTAAAGAACTGCCAGACTGTTTCCCATAGTGGCTGTGCCATTGTGTCTGTCCACACCCCCGCCATGTATGTCCTGTCTGTCCTGATGTCCTGCCTGTCCTGGGTAGTACAAGCTTTGGAGCCTGAGAGACCCTGGGACCGGCCCTGACATACCCCTTGCCGGCTGTGTGACCTTAAGAAAACTGCTTAATCTCTCTGAGCCTCAGTTTTCTCACCTGCAAAAGGCAGAGACAGAACGTAGCAGATGCTTGGTGTTCTGCCCCCATCCCCCGGGGCCTCACCATCCAGTGCACATGGACCCTAAGCTTCCTACCACAAGCCCCTGGGTTCTGTGCCCGGGGGGACTGCCTCTGTGAGCAGCCAGCTCTCAACCAAAGGCAGACTTGAGATGGTGGATGCATAGGCCAGGTGGCTCAGCCCTCAGGTGGGGGACCAGCAGTGATTGTACACTTAACTAGATAATTATAGATTGTGTAGGGATCTGTGAACAAAAATAACAAGGCATTGTGAGAAAAAAATAAGAGGGGACCCAGTTTTGGATAGGGTCATCACAGAAGGTCTCTCTGAGGAGGTGGTGCCCTGAGAAGTGAGGCTGGAGAAGCAGCCAGCCGGGTGAAGAGAGAATATCCCAGCAGGCAGTGTGTGCAGAGGTCCTGGGGCAGGGAAGAGCCTGGGATGAGCAGAGCAGTGGGGCTGGAGTGCGAGAAGGGAGAACGGGCGAGACACACAGGAGGGGAAGACAGGAGGAGCTAGAAGCGCATCCTGGTGAAGAGACGACTGGAAAAAAACGCTAAGGCTCCCTGCACGCTTGGAGGGTCAGTCTGCTATCCTGAGACAAGAATTTGAGCTTTCAAATGTACTTGCTGCCATATGGTGAGAGTTCATGGACAGAGGAGGTCAGAGGAGAGTGTCTTGTAGGGAAAAAGGAACCTCCTGCTAGGAATCAAAGGGGTGGGGCATGGCCCCCCAACAGCCCCCTCCCCTTCACATATTCAGCCAGCATTCCCCAGGGGCTCAGGGAGGGCCAGGGGTGGGGTCTCCAGGGTGGCCCTGTCCTTCTTGGGGAGCCCAGGAGCTCCACCTCGCTAGGTATGGGCAGCCTGGCCTGGCGAGGGGCTCTCTGAGGCTGCAGGGAGTGGTGGGTGAGGGGGCATTGAGACTGCGTGCGCCTCGATGGAGACCCAGCTTGGCCTAACTCCAAGGCCTATGACCCTAAACACCCCTCGCCATGAAGGCAGTTCTTTCTCTGCCCCACTTCCCCCTGCCTTGTCCCCAGCCCTTCAGCCTGGACCCTCTCATGTCCTCGTGCAGCTCAGAAGGCAGATGAAGATGTTGTCAGGTTGTCATCCAGATGGTGTTGGCCACAAGGCACTGGCTTTCAAGAATAGGGTTCTGACTGCTGATGTCCCCGTCATTCTCACTTACAGGGAACTGCCCTAGCTTTTCTTGAATTTCTCCAGGTCACTGCTCCCAACCTGCTATTTTAGAGCTGTGCCTCTGGCCCCCACGAGGCGGCACGCTCCTGACAGACAAGGATAAGCTGCTTTTACCTATGTGGCTGCTCTGCCCAGCAGAAGGTCTGGCATTTATTTGGCTGATCTCTGCTCAGTGGATGGATGGTAGAGGAGTGGATGGGTGGGTGGGTGAATGATGGATGGGTGATGGATGGAGAGGTGGATGGACGGATGGATGGATGGATGTGGATGGATGGATGGATGGATGGTGGATGGATGGAGAATTATGGTGCTATTCTTCTGAATTATACAAAAGGCAGATACATTTATTTATTTTGTCAGTGACAATACATGAATTTTTGAAATTTCTAACTTGAAATTAGCCTGCCAAAGGCATCGGATTTCCCAGGAATGCTCCGCTGGCCATCGGTCCTCTCCGCGTGGCGCCCACGAGGCTTTTCATTCCTCCCACCTTTGAGCTCATCAAACAAGAGTGCTGCAGGGCAGGCACCTGGGGGAGGCATGCTTTGCTCCTGGTACGTCTCGTAGGTCTTTCTGGAAAGAGCAGTGCCCACCCAGCCTTCTCCTCTGTCCACTCACCTATCATTCATAGACCAGTTACCATCTGTATCTCCTCAGTGGAGCCCAAGCACCACTGTGGGAGCCTGTGAACAGAGGGGGAAACCGAGGCTGGGGAGAGGCAGAGGCTGATCCTGGGCTTTCATGATCACATGTGACCCAACCGAAGTGGCCACGGTCACGTCTGAATCCAGCACCATGTCGGCTCTTCTCCCCGCCCCAGCTGCCCCGCTCCCCAGATCCCGTTCCGGGGTGTGGACATGCAGCCCGGCGGGGCAGTCAGGCACAGCGTGGGGTGCTCAGGCACAGCGTGGGCCGTCCTGCTAGTCCAGCTGTTGCAGCCTGAGAGGGGATGGGTCAACTCGGGGGCTATATCTGGCTCGGCCCTGGAATGTGGCCCCGGCAAGGTCGCCCTCCGATGGGTGGGCACTAATTATAGACCTGCTAGCTCACCTTCCTGAGTCCTTCAACCCCCAGGGGAGCGGGAGGCCTCTGAACCCACCGAGGGGTTCAAAGGCCCGCTCGGAGCAGCTGAAGCTCACCCAGGGCCCTTCCTGCCTTCCCCGTAGAAAGGGCTGCCCAGGGCTGGCTCGGGGGCCCGGCAGTGGGCCCTGGTCTGTTGGCTTCACATAGGCAGGGCCGCCTTTTCCCCAGGACAGGTGGGGAGTGGACCAGGCCTGGGTAAGCAGAGCGGCCCACAGCCTCCAAGGCTGCCTGGTTGCCTCTCCCGTCAGCTCAGTTCCGCGCAGGAAGGGTGACTGGCTGGCCACTCCTGAGAGGCTCTTTTCTTTAAAAAAAGAAAAATGTATTCAGCATTGTTTATGGAGCACCTTTGGTGTTTCCACCTCTCTACTTTTGGTGGGGAGGCCAATGACTCCCGCAATCGAGGCATTACAGTGTTTTTTGATGTTCTTTTTACCATTTTATTCATTTTTCGTTGTACCAATTCGTGGCTTTAAGCACATTCACAACCTTGCTAACCATCACCCCCATCCATCTCCAGAGCTTCATCGTCCCAAATAGAAACTCTCCCCACGAAATACCCACTTCCCAACTCCCTCCCCCAGCCCCTGGCCACCTCTATTCTACTTCCTGTCTGTGTGAATTTCACAACTCTAGGGACCTCATCTAAGTGGAATCATACAGGATTTGTCCTTTCGTAACTGGCTTATTTAACTTAGCAACATGTCCTTAAGGTTTGTCCGTGTTGTAGCAGGTGTCAGAATTTCTTTCCTTTTTAAGGCCAAGTAATATTCCATTGTCTGGCGGACCACGTTTTGTGGATTCGTTTACCCGTTGGTGGACACGGGCTATTTCCACCTTTTGGTTACCGTAATAAGCATAGCCATGACCTCGGGTGTGCACATATCTGTAGGAGGCCCTGCTGTCGCTTCCTTCTGGGGATATTTGCAGAGGTGGAGCTGCTGGGTCACATGCTTACTCTGCTTAACTCTTTGAGGGACCGCTGCCCCATTGTCCACAGTGGCTATCCCATTTTGCATTCCCATTCCTGCAGATTCTTGGCCCACAGTCGCACAGACCCTGGAAGTTCAAGGGCCTGCCCCACACCCTCCACCTCTCTTCCTCCCTCTCCTTCCCCACCCCATTAGGCAGGTAAGGGGTGACAGCAAATGGGGTGAGGGAGGGAGACTGCCATCTCTGGGTCCCCTGGCACGCCCTGTCCTGGCTCAGATGCATCTGTGCATGGGTGTGTTCATGAGGCCCCACCCCCGTCCCAATTTCTTTTACTGGGGGATCCTACCCGCCCCGGTGCCCCCACGCATGCAGCCCGCTGCCCCTCCCTGACAACGGCTTCTTGGGGACTTGCCATTCCCCAAAGGAGAGAGGACAGCAATTAACGCAGGAGCTGACGATGGGCTAGGAGGTAGTCTGGGGGGAGGTGCTCTGGCGTCTGGGTCTCCTCAGTGTTCCTTGGATAGAAGACCTCCGTCTGACTCAGCCTTAGGCTGTGAGGGGTGGAGGGGGCAGTGAGAGAAGATGGGAGTGGGGATAAAGCTCTGGGTGTGGACGAGGACATCCTGGGGGTGCACAGGTACACACACGCACAGGAACACACACACACAGATGCCTGCAGACGCAGGAATTCACACACATGCTCACACACACACACACGCTCCCACATGCATTAGCCTGTACTTTCCATCCACACAGACCATCTATTGGTTTAAAAAAATAACAACTTTCAAAACCAGGGGATTAAATGCATCTTTAGCCCAATGTCTCAGAATACAATCTTACATCTTAAAACAGTGATTCGGCACAGACCCTGCTTTCATCACAAGCAAATATGTTCAAGTAAAACCTGCAAGTGTTTCTTTTTCTTCAGGCTGCATTATAATCTATTAAATAACAACGTAGAATAAAATACTTTAATGCTTCGATTACGCAAACCCCCACGTCGTCCCCCAGCTGTGCTGCAGGGAGCCTCCTTGGTTGGCTGGGACCCCGAACTTCAGCTGGTCTCCCCTGTAGGCCAGGAGGTGCCCCTGGCCAGCGCAAACCCACAAGCGTCTCCCTTTAAAGTAACACTTCCTCCGAGGCCTGGCTCAGCCCCCAGTTCCGGTTTGACTGGCCCTTGTTTGAGAGGGTCAGGAAGGGCTGAGGGTACGTTCTGTTGGCCTCGAAAGAGCAGCCAGCTCAGAGGCAGGAAAAGGGACAGGGGTGAGGGGAGAGTCAGTTTTGGAGACCGCCATGCTGTGATGGTCAGCTATGACCGTGGATGCTGTCACTGGCTGACCCACACCTGCCGGGCCAGGCTGGCCGTGAACTTGGCTCCCAGCCACGGGGCCGGGAAACAGGAGGCCTCCGCTTCCCTGGGCTGGGGGCTAAGCGTGGCCTCCCCGTCTCCTCTGCCGCTGTGACCGCCGCCGTGGCTGGGCGCCCTTGCCCGGCGGCCTGGGCAGGCCACCGCGGAGCCCAGCCCCGCTCTGCAGCAGCCGCACCATCTCATGGTCCTTGTGGTCCAGCACGCGGGGCAGGAAGAGCGAGGACTTCTGTGTGCGGCGCGTCTTGAAGCCCCTTCGGGGCCGGCCCTTACCGTTGACGGACACGTACCACAGTCTCTCGGCGCTGGGCTGGCGCCGGGCCCCTGGCCCGCTGGGCACCGTCGGGTACAGCCGGGAGGCGTATGTGTTATAACCCAGCTCGTGGATCCGCTCCACGAACTCGCACTCGGCGTTGTAGTTCTCCTGCGGGGCGTGGGGCAAGACGCGGCGGTCAGCGGGTCAGCACTCAGCCCGGGAGGCCACACGGAGGGGCCGAGGGGCGCAGAGCCCACGCCTTCTCAACACCTCCCTCCCTCCCTTGCTCCCGCCCGTCTGTCTGCGTATCCTGCCCAGACCCGGGCGGTCTCGCCCTCCACACCTTTGCCTAGGCTGTGCCCGCGGCCGGGCGTGTCCTTCCGCCCGCGTGTGTCTGGTGAACTTGGCCTTTGAGATTCAGCTCAAATGCCAATGTTTCCTGAGCACCTTGGGAAGACTGGCTCTCCCTGTCCCTCCTCTCTGGTCCCCCAGACCCTCACCCTCCTCCATAAATACTTTGGAGAACGTCCCAGCACAGGCACAGCAGAGACAGCGCCTGCCGGACCCAGGTGGCCTAAGTGTCTGCTGGCGGCACGGATGTCAGCAGGACTGGACATTTGGACAAAGGAAGGGGACGGCATAAACGAGAAGAAATTTCCCAGAAGAAATTGCATAAACGAGAAAGAAGAATAAGAACATCAAAAGTGGAAAGAAAGGGTAACACGGTTTGGGTCCCAGCTCGTGCTGTTGAGCTCAGAGTCAGTCATGGCTTCGCGGTCTCGGCCCCCCAGGGTGAGGGAGGAGTGCCAGGAGCCCGGCTGGACTCGTGCTGGTACATGGCACACACCCTGCTCTAAGGGCACTGTGGAGGCAGCGGTCCCACCACCAGCGGCGGTACAGGAGGTTGACATTGTCTACGGGGATGAATGGCACCCCTGTCACCCTGGGACGGGGTGGGGGATGTGGGTCTCTGCCCTCTGGGAGGCGGGCGTCTGCAGGGACAGAGGCGCAAACTCAGAACTGAAGGATCTTTCCTTAGTGGCCCCAGGGAGCCCTGTGGGGTCTCCCTGTTGGGGGTGGGGAAGAGGTGGCGTGCCTTACCCTGACCCAGGTGAAGCTTCCATCCCAGCCGTAGGTGGGTGGGTACGCCAAGGGCCACCCCCACAGTGGTGGTCCCCCCCTGCACTGTGCCCAGGGGCTGGACTGGGGGCAGGGGAAGGTGGGCAGACAGGCCTGGTCTTCTTCCCAGGACCGGCCCCGGGGCAGGAGGAAGAGGCCCCCGGGGTCTGTCTCTGAGTGCAGGTGGCCCAAAGGACCACAGGCCCATTCTCAGGGGTCACCGGCTGGCGGGGGCCAGACCCACGAATTGGCAACATGTGACTGGAAGGACCAGGAAGCAAGATGTTTAAGCACAGAACACCTCTTTCCCTGTGGCATGGAAGTCTGGAAGTGAGGGCTCGGGGGGTGGGGGTGGGGGGTCTGGCTGAATCAGGGTGGAGGCTGCCTCTCCCCACAAGCCCAATCCCTTCTCTGCTCTCCCGCTCCTCAGCAGAGGTTTGGAGCTTGGATGCCCAAGACCAACCTCTGCACTTTAAAGATGGAGAAACTGAGGCCCAGGGCGGTGCCGGGCACCAAACCACACATAGATATGATGCTATTCTGGTGTGTGCCGGACCCCTGCATGGTGTGGGCTCAGGGGGCATCTGGGGTGAGTGAGTGGGCTCAGGGCAGACTACATTAGTGTCTGGCTTCCACCAGCACTTGTGAGGAAGTTCATGGCAGGACCGACTTTTGTCCTGGTTCCCTCTGTTCTGGAGAAGACGTGCCCTCCAAGGCTGAGGCCCATCCACCAGGAAGCCAGAGCTGGGCTTTCTCTTTGCAGGGAAACTTGGGGGCGGTATTTGATGGGACCCAGCCCCATGGACCTCAAAGAGCAAGGGGTTCAGGCCCTCCCGAGGGGTCCCGAGTTACAGAGCCATGATGGGAGGTGGGAGCAGGAGGCAGTCTCGGCCGCTCTTCTGTGGGCTGAGCTAAGGCGCCTGGGCGATAATTTGTGGGTGATCAGGGCTCCCTGGAGACCATGACAGGAGTGAGAGTGGATTCACATTTTAGGAAGACCACTCAGCATTACCTAGCATAGAGTAAGTGTCTAGGACATTGATGAAGGAAGGAAGGAAGGAAGGAAGGAAGGAAGGAAGGAAGGAAGGAAGGAAGGAAGGAAGGAAGGAAGGAAGAGAGGGAGGGAGAAAGGAAAGCCAGAAGCAGGCTGACAGTAAAGACTAGGGAGCCCACACAGCCAACAGGCAGGGCCGTGGGAACTGCACTCACAAGCAAGTTGCTTAAGATGGGGACACAGGGTGGCAGTGACAGGGTGGCACCTGGCTGCCTCACCTCCCAGATTCCTGCAGGGCAGTGAGACCTTGCCCACTGGGTGCTCTGAAAAGTTCCACACCATCCAGCTAGACCTCCTGGCTATCCCCCAATAAGGCTGGAAACTTTCTTCCTCCTTCCCCAAAGCTAGTGCCATCTGTCACCTCTCGGGGACAAAAGCTGCAGGTGGACATCCCCATTGGGAAGGCTCAGGTCATGTTTCATTCTGTCTCCCAAAGCCCTGGGCCTGGGTCCCCCATGGAAGCGATGTCAGAGGCCTTAGCCTTCTCCTCTCACTCCAGTCCTCCCTGGCCTACTGTGCATGTCCCCAGTGTGGGCAAAAGGCCCTCTGTGGTCAGTAAGACCCGCCCATCACCACAGGCCAACAAGACCTCCTCACTGGGCGTCCCTTCTTTGTAAGGGAAAAGTCTGAGGCCGTTTCAAGAACAGAAAGTCAGCTCTGCTCACTTGTACCGGGGGCACAGGGCCAGAGGGTCTGGAAAGCCACAGGCCTCCACAAGAAAACCTCAGGCCAGACCCCGGGCTAAGGGCATGTCCTTATAAACTATAATTGGTGTTTGGAGATGCTAGAAGCACATACAGAAGAAGCCGAGCACCAGAGGGCCCTCCTCCCAGACGCAGCGTCAGTCACGTGGACCCTGGGTCAGAGACAGCTAACGGGCGCATTCCAACTTTTGCATTTTCCTTTAGCAAAATAATCTGAGATGAAGCGACCCGCACAAGGCGGGTTTTTCTGCAAGTCTTCTTGATCACGCTTTGCCTGACTTCAAAGCAAGCAGGGAGATGGCGGTGTCTTTCCCCTGCAAACACCGAACGGAGGGACGTAATGGTGGCAAGACGGTCCTTGGGCTGTGTCATCTAGGTTACGTGTGGATGGAAGACCTCTCATTGCCCAGGAAGGTATCAGCGGAATTGCATGTAATGACTAGTTGGAGCTAGCATGTTTCCTAGTTACGTGTATTTTACTCCATGTATTCCCCGCCCTTATCCTTGGGAAAGGTGCCCACAGGGTCACGGGACCCCTTTCTGTTGTGGAGGCCCAGGCAGTGGATAGACTGGGTTCCAAGCCTGTGTGACTGGGACACGGACCCCGTCTCCCTTCCTGTGGGTTCCCACCTAAGAACTTTCTGTCCTTGGGGAGAACCGGCCGTGCCGTGGCCCGCTTCGTCCTCCCCTTGCTCCCAGGAGAGCTCTGGGGCAGCCCACAGAGGAGCCCTTGGTTTGCTTGGGTTTACTTATTTCAGTGGAAATTTGGGGGACGCTCTCTCCCCTACCCTCAGCTACCTTGAGGGAAGAACGATAGCGGTGGCCACAAAATGTTTGGAGGAACATTTTCTAATCCAACAACCCTGGAGACATAAGACATGTCTAACTCCCAGCAAGACCCTCCCCATGGAACGCGCTCCACGTCGCTCAAGCTGGCAGCCGCCTCCTACAAAAGCTGCTGAAAGAGCCCTGGTTGCGGAGTCACAGGGGCTGGGGTCCTGGTCCTGGCTTGTGTCCTACATGTCCCTGGGCAAAGCTCTGTCCTGCCCACGTGCCCTCTGTCCCCCGGTGTGATGTCCAGGGGAGCTGGCCGCTCCAACCGTGCCCGCCCACAAGACAGCCTGGACTCACCGAAGCATAGAGCCGTCCCCTCTTGTTCATGGCCAGGTACCGTCCGGAGAAGAGCCCCTTGATGGCCACAACACCCACCTCCACCGCCGTTATCTCCAGGATACCTGGGAAGAGTTGGGAATGTACGTCACTCCCTCGGCCTCCCGGAGCATGGAGGGCAGGGCTGAGTACCCACTGGCCCTGTGCAAAGCTGAAACACACCCCCAAGGTGGGGTGGCTTTGGAAATTCTGGGGAAAGAGAAATTACTAGGCGGGAGGTGAAGAAGGTGGAGCATCAGGGAAGATTTCTCCAAGGAGAAAAATTCAAAATGGGTCATGGGTATAACAAAGCTAATATTTCTACATACTGACTGTGCCAGGTACCGTGGGTTTGCAGGACATGGAGCTCATCAGAGACTCGCAACAACTTTGCCAGCTAGTTTCATGGAACTGCTGAGGTTGAGTGACTTGCCCAAGACGGCACACACATGTGTGAGCTGGAATTCAAGGCCAGGCTGCAGACACCAGTCTGAACTCTGCAACTACACTGCCAGTTTCACGGTCCCTGTGGGGTACGGGAGTGGGGGAAGCTGGGGGCCCTTGAGGAAGCAGGTTGAGAATATAATCCATACAGCACCTTGAGGGTGTCACCCAAAGCCGCTGGCATTGGACCTGGGCGGGAGATAATTGTCCAGTGATGCAGGAGGGATACACCCCGTTGGCAGGAGGCCAGGTTAGCCCCTGCAACTCACAAAAGAAAGTGGGCCGGGCTCATTCACTCCCTACTGTGGGTAAGAAAGTTTAAATCTCCCCAAACGCCTTTCCTTCTGGACACAAGAGCACTTTTTCTTGGGGACCTGCAACAAAGGCCAGGGTGGAGCCATTGTCCCCTGAGTACTACTCCAAGGGGAACTGGGGCACAGTGGACGCCCTCTCCAGGGTATGCGTCTCCCACGCCTGGCCCCCTGCACAGCAGCGATCACAGGGCACAGAAGGGGGTCGCTGGGGACTTGCCCAGGGTGCGCAGGTGCAGGCTGCATCCCCAGGACCAGGTTGGGCGGATTCCACCGCGCCTGCCCGCGGACCAGAGAAGCGCGTGACTGCATGCGGAACAGGAGCGGCTGCAGGTGCGCGCCCTACTCCGTCTCCGTGCTCCCCGCCTTGGTTGCCCCAAGAATTTCGATGCTCTGCGCGCGACTCCGACGGGGAGACTGGATTCAGATAGAACCCGCGTGTCCCTGCAAGCCGAGAGCATCCGCTCCCGTGGCAGGGTCCTGCGCACTGGGAAGGCTTGGCGACAGCTGGTCTCCACCGTGCGGCTCCAGAGGCATCCTGCGAAAACGCCTTCGCAGGGCTGCGGCTTTCCTCGAGGAAGGAGCGGTTTCCCGCCACTGCCTTGAAGCCACCGCACGGCTTCCTGCACCAGGGCGGAGGCCGAGCGCTGCGCGCCTCATCGGAAGACCCCCGAGGCCCTGGCCACACTCCCACGCTCCCCACTGCAGTCCTGCCAGGCCCGGAGCTCGCGTCTCCTGCTCTCCACCGATAGGAGCTGCATCGAGTCCCTCTGGCTTTGCGTTTCTCGCAGGAGGGAGGCTCAGGACACGCTCGGGTCCCGGTGGCCCGAGGAGTCACACGCTGGAGTCTTGCGGGATTCCGGCTCAAACACAGTCCAGGCCGCGCGGGTCCTGACTGCGGGTCGGGGCGAGGGTGTCTCTATGCCCCCAGACCCAGGCAGACGAGCCTCCGTACTCCTAACCCCTATCCCGATGCCCCCACTCGGCGGCGGGGGCGCCCACCCTGCTGGTCGCTCAGCGACCAAGGGCGGATTTGGGAGGGCTGCGGGTTCTGCCCGGGGAAATGGCCGTCTCATAGGTGGCAGCCCGGGCCCAGGAACCCGGCTCTGCCCGAGCGAGCATCTTCCGCGCGGACGCAGAGGTGCGGGGCGGCCACCTGGGCGGCCGCACGCAGGAAGGACAGAAGGGATGGTGGGGCGCCCGGGGTCGGCAGGAGGAGGAGAAGTCGTCAAAATAATAAAGAGGATGATAAATGCCTGGTCCGGTGCTTTTTCTCCGAAAACCTCAAAGGGCTCAGACTTGTCAGGGCCACCGAATTCAGCCGAGCGGGGAGCGCCGAGCCGCCTACCGCGCGCCCCCTCGGACCAGCGGGCGTGGAAGCGGGGTAGGGGGTGGGGGTGGATGGGGGGTGCAGACTGTGCCAGGCCAGCTCGCCCGGACAGCGGCCAGGGGCCGCCCGCGCCCTCTGCGGACGTGAGCCCGACCCCATCCCAGCTCCTCCTGGACGCGGAGGGAGACCCGGGGACCCCGGCTGCCTCCCCCTGGCAGCGCGGAGCGTCCGCTTTTCCAGGCGCCCTTCGAGCACCGACCCCTTCTGGGCGCCGCTCCTCCCCGGGACCCGGCCGCGGGGACCGCGGGGCCAGACACTCACTGTAGGCGCTGTTCTCCAGGCTGCCGTTGACGCGGCCGCTCGGGTGCAGCTGGAGGTGGTACTTGGTGGCGCAGTAGAGCTTGCGGCGCCGGGGCGCCCCGCCGAGGTGCTCGTAGACGCCGCCCCGGCCGCCCGCATCGCGCCGCAGCCGCGCCCCGGGGCCCGCGGGCCAGCCGGGCTCCAGCAGGCTGAGCAGCAGCAGCCAGATCAGGCCCATCGTGGCATCGCGCCCGCCCCGCGGCGGCGGCGGCTGCAGGCGAGCGCGGCGCCCATGGAAGGGGCGGCAGCGGAGCGGGGCGAGGCGCTCGGAGCCGGCTC